GACTCTTTTGAAGGTTTGTTTACACATTTTCGTATAGCGAATCTGATAGTGTGGGCTGCAAAATTGAGCCAGTGCTTCAATTGATGTTTTTGGTAAAAAAAAAAAGATGGGTGGACCTACACTAATGAATCGGAATGCCGTAAACAATGTTAGGAATCTGCAGTTCCGGTGACTCAGCTGGCCCACTACTTGCTGACAAGGCCCCGAATATTTATTGTTTGTTTTGAGGGAACTTATGTTGGTACTGCTAAACAGTAATGTGATTGAGCAGTAGTGTTCAAAATTCCTTTCATTGGGCACATATGTGGCAAATGCTGAAATTCAGGACCACCGATTTGAAGGTCTGCACGGGCACTTAAACAAGTCGGTCCAGGTTACCGAGCTCTTCAGAGTGGGCGAAGGTTGAGCTATTTCAAACGGCGCTTAGACCACACACATGATACGGAGATCCCATCCCGAGTTCATCCCACCAGGGCGCGCCAACTACGGGACCCTTCTGCGTTGGGCATTGGGACGGAAACTCGTCCGGCAGAGTGAATTGTCTCGAGAATTGAGATTCTCGGCCAAAAACTGTAATCCTTGCAAAACTGTGAAGGTTGGAAACGATATGGGCTGAGATGGGTTCAGCTACAGTACGAAGGTAAACAAAACATCATCGCAAGCCGAATCATGTGTACCTATCTTACAATACTTACATTTATGATTATCTACCATCGAACGACGACGGGACACACTGGTCCGTGGTGTAGGCGGTTAGATGGTGACACATCCTACGACCACCATTGAGTCTGTCACGCGATCCACATCCTGTCCAAGACTGGCTAACTGGGAATTGTTTACTTACTCAGTTCATTTCACAAAACAGTTTTGTTGGCCGCCGCTCCGTCCAAAATTATCCCGCAAAGCAATCGAGCAGAAAAACTTGGGGCCCATGGTGTTTGTGACTCTTTGGTTTTACACTTGTACTTTACAAAAACAACCTAAAAAATAGAAACGTCTATTATGCTTCGACATTGTGCTCGAAAATGGGATAAAAAATTGTTTGGCCTCGTAGATGTATCGTTTCAATCGGAGGGAATGGGGTGCTTTTTTGAGCGTTGATACGTGACCTACGAGTTCTCACAGTTTCAACCTAGTACAACTTCAGACCTACTCCTGTATTACTCCATAGTTAATAGGGAACTTCTTTATCTTTCCTTCAAAGGTCCTCACACTCGAGCCCTGGAGTACTTCTAATTGGAATTTACCTCAGTACCGATCTATTCACGACGCGGGACGGCTCCTAGCTAGTTGTCTCGGCACGCAGCACGATTTTCGGAACTTTCAACCGTCATTCCGAACTTAGCTGATCCGTTATGATGTAATATTATGTATTAGCATTTTATATCGTTTTATGAAATATTGGGTTGTCAGGAAAATTTGCGAAATATCTTCCGAAAAACAATCATATTTACAAATACAGCATTCGAATCTCAGCACAGTAAAAAAAAGTTTTATAAAATGATCGTCACTAAACAATTGCGAAGTTTTTGAGAATCCTCACCTTGTAAATCAGATAATTAACGGTACTTCAAGAGGAAACACTTAATTAAACTATGAGCTCTTATTTAAAACTGTTGAGCTTTCCTTCATTATCTAGGTCGTCCGAGTGTGTACGACTCCATCCATTTGCCCCTTACTGTTGAGAAAAACTTTCGAATTTTGGTGAAGTGTAGCCAGTTTGATAATTCTAACAGCTGCCCCGATCGCGTTTGACGTGTAGGGAAAAGGGTCGGCAATTGTAAGTGAGACTGGAGATCGAGCGTTAATATGCGAAATTTCCCGTTTCAAGTCAATCATATATTCGATGTGGTTACTGTGATCGTCAGTAAAAGCAGCTTTCAGCAGATTGTTAGCACATTCACTATTGAAAATCATCTGAAGAAGAATGAGTGTTTTCCCTATGTTTTCCTTAGCGTTTCTTCCCTTGGTGTTGCTACTGGCATATTAAAGTTCACGTATTCATAGACTTTTTTAGTTGCGAACTTTCATGGTTTGAAACATTTTTTCGACCCTTTTTTTTAGAAGTACAGTGGACCAACTGTCAGTGCCTAGCTAGAGCTTCTTTATCGCTTTTTTTGGAAGCGTCAGTGTCAAATTAGAAACGAAATCGTCGTTACAGTAGTCATCGTTCTCGCTGCGGGACCGACTTGTCAACGTGGTTCGGTTACGTGACCGATATCGATCGTGTTGTATTGGTAGCCATTTATAACCCTAGGGTTTTGAAGACGTTCATCGTCGTAGTATCCTGAACGAAACAATTCCTGAGCATTGAGGTTATGCTAGCGTTCGTCTCACGTCCATAGGGTAATGTTTCATTATTTACTACAAAACAACTTGTAAACAATGACTCCGACTAGTGCAGGACATTTTTCTGCTTCTTCAACGGAATAGAACTAAGCGCTAGCAGTAAGGAGGTGATAGTAAAAGTGACGAAGATTAAACTTGAAATACTTTGAAATGCTCGGCAGATTCAGTGAAATTAATGGCGACTCGAAGGCACAGTTCACCATGGAAATGGCTTATGAGATATCCCGCTAGGGTGAATCTGTGACCCTTTCGTACTCCATATGTTGCGCTATTAGATTGGAAAACGGCCGAGATAGGGCGTTATGAAAGCTCAAAGATTGTCTTGTATGTATGCGTGGACGAGTTTCAACGACATTGCAGAGGCTGCACCATTCGCAAAAATCCCATGTAGTAACTTTAAGCGTCTTTTCGTGACCCATAGCGACAGGTGAAAGATGGTAATTCTGGACAGTTTCGGCTTGTGACGGAAGCTCTTCGCGCTATTGCAACAGCTGAAATCTCGTCCGAATTTCCCTTCAATGTCAGCAGCGTCACGGTCAACTCGTACAACCTCTATTTAACTACTTTCAAGGAGCGTTCCTTCTCATGGAGTCGTCTCTGCTTCTCGCTTTGTTCACCACCGATGCACTACCCTTATCCAATACTTTTGCTTTCCGACTCAACAAGGGTACCTTAAAATTACCGTGAACTTTGCCCTTAAAATAGCTTACCAGTTATTGAGGCTGTACGAGATTTCAGGTGGAACTTCTTGCTCTTGGTGCCAAAAGCTGTCGCCCTAGAAAAATTCAGCAAATCGCTGTGAAATTTGCGATAATAAAAGTCCAGAAAGTTTTCCTATGCAAAACATTTGTTTTGCTGAAATCTAACACTTACCGGTTACCTACATGTTTTGAACTGTACTGGTATGTTGATTACCTTTGAATGTTTATCTTCGAGAGGTAATCGATGAGCGTCTTTTTGTTGTCGCCATCTGTTTTGTTTCACAAGAACCAAACAGTGCCTTTGAAAACAAAAAGCAAACAGCTGTGCTCGGATTGGTGGCTGAGTGAAGCCCAAAGGGGTGTGTGAGACTATTTTTTGAATCAGTTTTTGATGATTAAATCATGGAGATGAAAAAGTAAAGGCGATGAATGAAAGCTGTGCCGCTTCACAGATAGGTGGTAAGAAGAAAGGCAATCCGCTGATAACAAAGGCTGCCTTCTGTCGCGCCATACATTCGCCTTCGTCCCGTACAGTGGTAGGAAAGGGCACGATTCACGATGAAAATGGTTTCTAGGATTTCCCCTATGATGATTCTGTGGAACCTAAGGACAGCCCGAATGCACTGGCGTATCGAAAACGACCACTACAGAGCTTTATAAGAGCTCCAAAGCCGGCGTGGCCGACGTAGACACCCAAAGGTGGCCGTGTTACTACAGCCTTTACATGCTGCAACATTCACAATGGAGCGCGCATGCTGGAAATTCAAACAGCTGGTCGTGACCCACGGCTATACTGGGCGCCTTCATAGTGCAACACCGACATTGGTGTCTGGACTTCTGGGTGTCCTCGACATGGGCGTACTTTTTGATGGCATTATGACACTGACCTGAGCTCACCATGAATGGGCCCAGTGAAAGGCAACTTCTGACATTTTGGCTTACTTTAGTCAGCTATTTTCTGAATGCAACAAATGGCAGTTCGTCCAGACACCCTTCCATGCCATTTCCTTCATCATATTCTTACGCATCCCCAATTTTTAACTATTATTTCGAAGCCTTATACCTCTCGAAAACAGCCGATTTTTGCATTCTTCGATACCTTTGCACTAATTTTACACCGAATCTTCCATTGTGTCACTTGGACTAGTGACTTGAACCTATCATTCGCTCTACTTTGAGGTTTTGTTTAGTGAATAGATAAGTAGCTTTACCAATTTACCTGATCTGATACCGTATCCCGAAGTGGAAACTTAAATGCATCAAGCGGTCGCTGCACGACGAACAACACACTAAACAGAGAAAATTTAATGGAAAATTTAACAAAGCGTTACAGAGTCAATAAGAAAGGATAGCAGGCAACGTTGGAAAACCGCAACCTCAAATATCAGGATTCAGGCGGAAAGGATTGAACCACGGACCACCTGTGGCTCCCCCTTTCGATACTATGTAAGACTGTTTGTTGACTCTACTCTTCACTTGTTTTTGGAAGGCTACAAAGTTATAATTTTCGATGAAATGTATTTCAGTTGGACATAGGGAACTCCCCGCTCCCCCCAATTGCGAAGAAGGAGGCGTTGGAGCAGACCCAAGTCAGCAGACCATGCCTTCCCTTTTCCCGAATGGCTGCTCTGACGGTATTGAAATGCCTGTCAGGACAGGAAACGCGGCTGAACACAGCAGCCTATATGGCACATTAACTCTCGAACATCTTTGAAAGTTGTAAAGGAAATTACAGTGTTTCACTCTAGAACGCTATGATTCGCTTACCAATGAGCCATGCATATTTCACTTACATGTTCTTCCGTTCATTGTAGTGACATCTGCCGTTTCAGCTTCCTGAACTTCTTTAGCACAGCGGAACCAGTAAGGAATGACTTGAACAGTGACTCGATGCGATGAAGCGCGAAGTAAGTTCATGAAGAACCCTAACAGGAATATGAATCTGACTTTATGGCAGCATATATAAGGCCCCATACCATGCTGAATACTTACAAAATGATCCAATTCGTTGCTGTCTGTGTACTGCTCAAAATCACAAACGCTTCCGTCCGGCAACCCAGGTAATGCCATTTTCTAATTCAACATTCTGTCATGGCCGAACGGAGTATGGAAGTTACATGAACCGCTTCAGAGAAATTTTTTAAACATTTCATTCTATTTTAAACCGTCAGTTTCTTGATTGCTTTATAAAACATGAGGATTTGAGGCTTCCTGGAAGTGAATACCTCTTTGAATACTCAAACGCACAGTTAACGGTGAAAAATATTTCTGAGATATGTCCTGGGATGGATCTGTGGCCCTCTCGTATACCGTATACGACATTTTCAGATCGGAAAACGGCTCAGACAGAGCCTCATAAGGGCTAGAAGATTGCGTAAGCTGTATGCCGCACCCACATTCGGACGAGTTTTGACGGCGTTGTAGGGGCTGCACTGCGCCCATGTTGGAAATTCAAGCAGCTTGTCATGACCTATGGCGAGAGTGGAAGGCAATTTTGGGCATTTTTGGCCAAATGATGTCTGCTGTCTACGACAACAATTGAGGTCTCGTCCAAGTACCACTTCCATTTCCGTTATGGTGATCTCGTACAAGTTCTATTTCCGTCATGGTGATCTCGTACAAGCTGTCGTAACGGTGAATTTTTTCTCAGTCATTGGGGCGAAATAGCCAAATATCAAAGTGGACTCTTCACGCACAATAAGTGATTGAGAACGACGTCTCCAGACTCGATCGATTCCCTTCAGATGTGCGCCCATGCGTTCGACATTTCGATATCGTAGAAGCATCTGCATGTTACTGTTGCCTACAAAATACTACTTGCAAAGACAAATCAACCTGCAAGCATTATATTTATCCTCTAGTTCCAGTTCAGCACTATTTGACCTAGTCCGAAAAGGATTAGGAAGGATAGATATGTAAATGGTATGGGGGGGGGGGGGGGNTACTTGATAGTGATAGGGACGATTCCTGAAACTGCCTCTTTTGCTTGTTGGAAAGGGGATCCTAAAATCCGAAAACACGGACTTTTGATTCGTTGCCATACATCTCATGGGAAAAAAAGTCGTTAGCTTTACTAGGAGAATTATAATTCTGGTAGAGTTTGCAGCAGGAAGTGATTTTTGGCGCACTTGCGATTGAAAATTATTCAAATTGAAAATTAAAAAATTGAATTACTGTCCAGTTACGGAGCTCATGATTTGTTGGTTTTTACAGTTACTATCAGTGTCTTTCATTTTAGCAGTTTTGGTAGAGAAGGAAATGGATTTGACCATGGCTTTGAGGCTATGAAAAATCACCAAGATTTCAACGACATTGCAAATGGTGCTCGTAAAAACAATGGCGCCTGGTGGGTGTTTCTTTTGAGCTTACTGGTAAATTGTACGAACTAATCAGCGCACGACAACTATATAAGTGTCCTTACGCGTAGTATGAACAAGGGCCTACATATATTACTAATATAGTAGAAGTACTATTTATATACTACACCTACGAGCTTGTGACCTATTCTTGAGGTAACCTTTTGCTCTCTCGGAGTCTTCATGATGCCCTTGCATTAAGATGCGTAGCACTATTCTTAATCCGCTCACACCACGCGGCATTTCTTGGCTAGTTGTCTCGCCGCGTGGTGGGACAACTGGCCCGAAACCTTTTAAAGGCGGATTATGTCTCTTCTCGCTGTATACGAACACTGTTCCTTTCGTTTAAGCAACACTTGGTTTTTTTTTCGGGATGTTCTTCCAAACGAAGAACTCGGGGTACTCTTCCGAATACAGACCCTGTGTAGCTTGCGGTCGCGCTCTACCAAGATAACTCAGGTCTTGTATTCACGTAACTCGAAATCCTTTGGTTTTCTCTTTTCTCTGATTAACGAAGGGCATGACTTCTAGATGTCTTAAGCTAACTACCGTACCGGTAAGTAAGTCTTGACTGATTGTGAGTACTTTAACACACTTGCAAACAGTTACATCGAAAATTAAGGCTTTACAAAGCGTCAACTACTTGTTTCCGTTAAGGAACTTTATGGATAATAGCGCCGAAACCACAGACAAGCACACAAATTCGTGGAATGAAGCAGCACACAGTTCAGAAGCACGTCATCAAGATGAAGGCAGCAAATCCAGTTCCGGAACTAGCAGCTATGGACGAGGTATGGCTCTCACGATCGCATTCTCGTCGTTTGTAAACAATAAGGTAAACAAGGTGGTGCTCCTAGAGCATGGCTCAGCCACGTGGAGAACAACTTCATCTTATCACTCTAAATGAAGCGCCTTAGTTCACGCTCTTAATGTGACTCCTCGTATGTTCCCAAGCCATGTTCTTAATGCGATACATAACTAAAACCCTTTCCTCGATACGTTTGTGGGCGGGGAGTAATCTCCAATGGCGCTGCTCTCATTGGTCGGTTTCTTCTTCTTAGATGTTAGTTGCCTCGACGCAGGGAACCCTTTTTCACCACTGTCTTTTCGACCAACAGTTGCCATTATGATGGTCTCCGCCCATGCGACTATCACATAACGCATAATATAACTTACTACTATAAGTGCTTGTTATCATTACTTATTATTACTTGTTATTACTTTGAAGGACCACTGTTCTTACAAGTTAATTTCTCTAGGGATACGGAATATTTACAGATGTGAAAACAAAGACCTATGGATTCTTCGACTACCAATATATCAAGCCACAGTTCCACATTGAAGAATACCACGTCGACGAGAAGCATTCGAATAAACACACATCTGATACCCACTCCACCCACGCCCAACATTCATCCAAGGACAACTTCCACGAAAGAGGCTTTGATAATTACGGTATATATTGGTATTTTATCAGGGACCTGTTTATTACTTCAAGCGGTGAAGAATGAGGAACTGGATGAGCTTCCTTCAATGACACAGGATAGCTGCGGTAGCTCAAAAAAAAAATGGCAAAAAAAGGCGGATTTCAAGAAATATGACATTTTAAAAAAGTAGTAAGAAAGGTAGATGTGCGAAACCACGTATCTGTGACAGTCTGGTGCCTCTTACACAGACGTACTATTCCTCGGCGTTCCTATGCTCTATTATGAATGGGGCGGCCTTAACAAGGCCGCCAAAACACGACACTTTTTTGTGTCTACGCCGGCCAAGAATATTTTGAAGCCTATACTGTAACTTGGTGTTATCGTCGAAGAACATATTGTTACCGTACCAGGCGAGTTTAGACACCTCCAACCGAACCTGGTCGGACAGGAGGCTTCTTTGACATTATAGAGAGTTGGTCCGAGTTTTGATTGACCCCTGGAGGTGTCATGATTTCTTGCTATTCTCTTTCATAACAAAATTTCAGCCAATTCACATAGCATGAAGGGATCGAAAAAAACTGGCTCAGACCGAACCAGTAACGAGCATAGCTTCAGGGGAGCCAACTACGATAGCAGTTATGGTACGGTATTACGTGATATTTTCGGGTTCTTTTACAACAGTAGACTTACAACCAGATGACGACGAAGAGGGAAGTTTCAATCACGGATATCATGTTCATGGGGACGACTATGGCACGGAGCATCCCACTTACGTCAGCGATCATGGACACCTTCCAGAATACAGCAAACGTTCCGTGTTTTCCGGTCCATACCGTCATGAAGCTTCGTTCTATTAAACTAATGTTTCACTTGATGCAACTTTTCAATAAATTATGAGCTAATCATTTAAAGTAAAGTCTGCATTTTGTATGAGTGAATATTCAGTACACGGTGGTCCAATATCTGATCACGGTGGCCCCCTTTCTGTGACTTCATCAGGTTTCATCAGAGCAGACTGCTTGGCGTACACCATAACAATAGAAATCTCTCTTCAGCTGCTTGTTGTTCGACCACCAAAGGCGATTTTCTCAGTGGTAATTTGGTCTTTATTGTGAAATTGACACCTGTATAAAACCACTAACAAAGAAACCGAGACAGCCGACGGGTACTGTTTCTCAACAGCCTTTTAATCTTCGGACACTGAACAATGATATTCAGAAGGCTGTTGAGTGATAGACTACCACTTTTTGCTACAAACTTATACCAACCCCACTAGAGGAGCTGGATTCCACTTTTCTGCCCATTTTTGCTATCTGGTCTTGCTATCTTCAAGTGATTATCGATTTCCTTGTGGCAATCTCTGTTAATTTCGAAGTTGTCTTGAAGAGTTCTCTGTCTCGATTTGTTTTCGTCCTTTAATTCGAATAATTATTAATAAATTCAACTAAAACATACCCAATAACACTCTTAGAGCGATATTGCCATGGCGCGCTTGCGAGTGGTAGCGGTGCTTAGCGCCCCCGTGATTGGTCGACACGGAAGGCTAGCCAATCACAACACTGCTTGTAAAATCGCCCCCGATTCTTACCTAAAATCCTCATGGGGTAGTGCAACTTAATCAGAGAACGCCTATTCAGGCTGTTACTCAAGATTAAACCCTTGCATCCCAATATTTTATTATCCACGTTGCCTGTTGTCTTACATCATTACTGGTCTTCTGATTAATTTAGTAAGACAATGTACTAGCTTATCGATCGGCTTTTTCGGAAGCCATTGCAAAGGAAATACACATTGAGTCAGTCCACTCTGCGATTCCACAAAATTAACTTCATGGCCTTTTGCAGAAGTGTCAATCAACCTTGAACACTCTTTAACGCATCCTTTCTGAGTTGTTACATACATGCATCTAGTGAAGCATTTGGATTAATTTATGCATTAATTTTACTTATTTCGCTGTTAACTATTTTTTTCGCCCTTCGTGGCGCGATATGAAGGAGCGAACAGAATACCAACCAGGACTCGTACGCTTCCTAGCCACATGCTGGCAAATGCCTTTTTAGTTGCTCTTTCTACAGGTTCATATTGTATACATCCTTGTAAATTTTTCCGAGCATGCTCAAAAATTAGTGAAGGCCACGTCAATCAATGGTAATTAGGATAATGTTTTTTAGCGCTGGTCAAGCCCGTCAGAGGGATCCGCCCCGCATTCGACTTCCATTCAGAATCATAGTGGCGTATTGAATGCGTATGTGGCCTATGCAATGACTTGGTATGGCCAGCCGACGTCCGAGTCAGTGCTTTTACCCTCCTAGTTGAGCCTGGTTCCAATAGACCGGCCCCGGGGTTGGAAGGCCTAGGCAGATATCGATTCCGGATTCGAACCCGCGACCACACGCGTGTGGTAATGTGCCTCTTGCCACTACACCCTTTGTCAATATCATGGCTATGTACGTGTAACTATGGCCTTTTCTACCTTTCTGTTTATTGAAGACCAGGCTTGTGACGTGCGACATTCTTTACGGCACACACGAAATTTCATTTACAAGTATGCGTTTACACAAGTGCTTTATGCTCTCGAAAACAATGGCTTCTAGCCCTATAAGCCGCATACCCAATCAAACGCGATTAGAAATCCGAGGCCCAAAAAAAGCGTGGACATACACCAAGATGGCATTGAACTATGCCGAAATCATTATCTTACCTATCTATCATTATCTATCCTTTAATTTTTCCTCTCCTGTCATGCAGATAGATAGAAATTTGTAATGAGAATATGATCGTTAGCGATTACAGGGCAGAGGACTCATTTTTTGATACTTTTTGATAGAAACACTCTGAAAAATGCTCTCCTTTTGAACCATCCCTCAAAGTAACCTACCTGCTTTCGAGCCCTGGTCATAATTCCAACATTATTCAAAGGTCCATTGTCATGTGATGCATCTACTCTCGTACTGGTCCCTCCAGGCTAACCACGTCTTTCTTCTCTTTGGGGTCGAATAACTCTTACCAAACTTGTTCGGGAGGATAATAGCATTGACTTGAAGATTGGCTGACTACCGCAGGCCATTGATAGGTCACCAGTTCAGGGGGGGGGGGGGACTCCAATCACAGCGAGTCTGGAACTTATCCTGGTAATGTACCGTCCTAAAATCTTTCCAGAAGGTCTTAGGTATGAAACGCCTATTTTTCAATATGTCCCATGCAATCGATGGAATCAATCGATTTTGATAGATTGGGCTGCTTGGTCCTATTGGATTTCATCATCCACTTACAATCCTACTGGATGAGGATAGTTCATCTGCGCTTTCTGATTCATGTTTGTTTACAGAATATTACGAATGATGTCGATCGCTTTTCTGTTTCCAACTGAGCTGACTTCAGCTTGCTCATAACGATCCTCCTCCGTTTCCTTCAATCATTAGGTACTTCTGGATGAATTCTCCATGAGCTCCAGACTTTTTCTGATTGATTCAGTTGTTCGTAGAGCACCATGACATCAAGTATTTTTTACCGTTTCACCTGTTCTTTCATCAGAAAGATTTCATAGTCAAGCCCTACTTCATAACAATAGTACAGCCCATAGAAAATGATATCAGCAGCTCTATAAAATAAGCGCTGTTTAACTTTTGAGCTTTAATTTGGTCATTTAGAAAGTACAATATTTATACCTATAATTTAATAGTTGCCACATAGAACTTTATGGCTCTCCACCCCTATACCAAACATGTTAGGTCGTAAACCTTAATGGAAAAGGTAGTTATGGGCCTATGGACTGATAAACATATCGGCTGATGTCCACGTTCTGGGG